GGCCCATCCAGGTGCCCATGGGGGGTTTGCTGATTATATCAATGATGTCTCCTTTCTGTGGCCCAGGGAACAAAGATCTTTCCGTTAGGTACATTTCCAAGCATGAACCATCTGTTAATCAGAAGCGTGAATCACACGCATGTGAAGACACTAGGAAGACCAGAATCAGGGCTCCACGAGTCACCTGCTACGATTGGGAGTCCGGCAGATACCGGACAGGGCACTCCTGACCGTGCCAGATCTCATGGAGGCCCAAGGGCCCATCCCCTCTGGCCTCTTGCACCACAGGACAGTGGCCCGAGGTGTCCGTCCACCAGGGCTCAGGGATGGGTGGGCACCTGGCTCTCTAAACGCCCTGCCCTTACCCAGAGAGCACCTACTTCTTAGAAAAAGAATTCCCACCACTCAGATGTCAGTGGCAACTGCTGTCCTGTAATCGCTTCATACATTTCGTGGAACCCCATCTGTCCCATATGAATGTCACTGATCACACAGAGAAGCCAGTCACATCTCTTCAGTTGGTGAAAGCACAGAGACTGGAGGGTGGAGGGCAACAGGAATTCTGGAGGGAAGCTGAGGTCAGAGGACAGGGCCAGAGGGATGAGGTGGTGACAAAAGAGGATTAACACAAGACGCTCCTCCATCCCAAATGCTGGCTGGCTCTCTGTTTCATTTTCCACTACAGAGGAGACCAGCTTATCAAGGTAGTAGAGACACTGGCCAGTCTGCACCACAACAGCCCAGCATTTAACAGCAAGAAGAGAACACCTCCTAGGGCAACAAGGCACCCCGTGTTACTGCTCCAAGGCCAGGCAGACACACACCTTGAGCTTGAGTGAGTCTGTGTCATAGGGGCTGGGCGTGAAGTCGGTGTGCACCCTGGCGCGCCCACAGAACGGGCCCCGGTACGGGGGCTCCTCGTCATCACCGTCTTCCGACTTAACACTCTCCCTGTTGCTGGTCGAGGAATCGGTGGTGCTCACTGTTTGACCACCTGTACAGGAAAACAGGCAGAACACGGGTCAATACAGATTCCCTGCACAGCAAAGCTGAAGGCACTGAAGGGGGCTTCCCTGGTGGCGCAGTGGTTAAGAATCCGCCTGCCAGTGCAGAGGACACGGGTTCGAGCCCTGGTCTGGGAAGATGTCACATGCTGTGGAGCAACTAAGCCCGTGCGCCACAACTACTGAGCCTGCGCTCTAGAGTCCGCGAGCCCTAACTACTGAGCCCGTGTGCCACAACTACTGAAGCCCGAGTGCCTAGAGCCTGTGCTCTGAACAAGAGAAGCCACCGCGATGAGAAGCCCACGCACCGCGACGAAGAGTAGCCCCCGCTCGCCGCAACTAGAGAAAGCCCGCAGGCAGCAACGAAGACCCAACGCAGCCAAAAATAAATAAATAAATAAATTTGTTAAAAAAAAAAAAGAAGGAACTGAAGGCATCACAGGCTAGGAAGGTAGGGGCCAGAGGAGGGAGTCACGAGACACAGCCAAATGTCAGGACGACAGCAGAGTCCAGGGGAGGATCTGAGTTTTCTGACTGTTCTCCCTAATCAAGCCCCTAATCAGACAGGGGCCTCCATCAAGTTATCTTTATGACCAGGGAATCCAGGTGACACCGAGACTCTCTGATAGAGGACACCACCCTTAACATTCATAACCTCTCATTTGTCAGGCATACTATTTTTACCCCATTTTACAGATGAGGAAACAATGAGGTCAAGTAACTTGCTCGAGCTCAAATGCTTTTAAAGTAGTGAGTTTAATCTTGGTCTCTTTCCCCCATAGCATTCGGCAGACACCACCATTGGACCGGGAGTGGTTGCACAGCATTTGTTTCAGGGACATCTGTCATTCTCTTCTCCTCTTATTATTATTTTTTTCCTGTTTCTTAGTTGATTATTTTATTGCCCTGATAATAACGTTTTAATCAACATTCTGTATTCATAAAAGTTACGATGACGTTAGCTTTCTTTGTCAAGCCAGAAGAGAATTATTGGCACTTCCCACTACCCGAAATGCATCAGGGAAAAATAACATTACGTTATTGTGTTGAATTCTGCATAAAATGTTTCTGATTAAGGATTGGAGACTGAAGAGAAGCATCTGTCTTCTCTTTTATTAAACCCCCACTAAAATGCTAACAAAGGAATTGGATTCACTATGACAAGGAAAATGGTGGGGGGCAATGCACAGTTGAGAGATTTTTACCGAAATCTGTGAGACAAAAAAGTGGTCAGAGGATCGCTAATTACTACTGTAGGTGGAGGATGCGCCCAGAGGTCAGGAGAGCAACGTGTGCGCAGCACAGCCCTAGTTCTCTCCTCTCAATTTGCTGCTCGTCTTCATGAGCCCTTCCCCTCGACCTACCCCCCTCCAGTCTCCAGATCTGCTGGCGTGCTTTCCCTCTCTCCTCCAACCAAAATCATTACCCTCAATTTTGTGGCACTGCTAGACATCAACTACTAAACAAATAGGACTCTAGGGCCAGCTGTTTTGCAGGTCTGCCTCTGTAACAGCACCTTAAGGGTAAGAACTTGGTCTCATTTATCTTTAAAGTGCCTCAACCTGACACTCAGTAAAAGTCTGATTTTGACTCCAAGGAAATCATCTACGTTTGCAAACTAGACCTACTCATTGAGCTCTGACCGCTCAGAGAACTCCGCAGACTCTCCACAGAACCTCCGGCTTTGAGCTTGGGCTTGTCCATGTGTTCGCTGTCAGGCTGAGAGGATGAAGGGGAGCCCGGCATTCCATCAAGGCCTGAATCCTGAAATGGGTTTTGACATAATTATGTTTCACCAGAGTGGATGGGTGTCCTTCTGTAATTCGCAGCAGTTTCGCCCTCAACGACATCAGTCAAATCCATCTTTATACCCAAGTCTGATTCTTTACCCAAAATGTATTTCCTTTTTCATCTAAATCCTTGCTTCATTTTAAAGTTGTGGTTCATGTAACTATTAATTAAACACTCAAAAAATGTTTTTCATACTCAAATAGATATTTTTGAAAAGAATCTATCTATCTACCTTGTAGACAAAACATTTCGTTAAAGGCTTAGAGACTTAGTATACTCCCTCGTTCAGTAATAACGCTGGACTTCAAATGTAGACCAGATACAACCCACTAGCAACGTAGTATCCGGAAGTATCATCAGAGAATATTTAATCTATTTGAAGGGAAACATTTACACACACGCACGCGCACACACACACACACACACACACACACACACACAAAGCCCAGATTCTTATATTTCTGTTTACACAAATGACTAAAACTGGCTAATAAAATACCAACTTAGGACCCAGATGTACAGTTGACCCTTGAACAACACGGGGGTCAGGGGTGCTGACCAGCTTTGCGGTTGGCCCTCCTTATCTGAGGCTCTGCATCTGTGGATTCAGACAACCACAGATCGTGTGGTACTGTAGCACTTACTATTGAAAAAGTCCACCTATGAGTGGACCTATGAAGTTCAAAACCTGTGTTGTTCAAGGGTCAGCTGTACAGCAAACATACCATTTTTCTGTCTATAATACAATTTCCTTAAGTCACCCTACGATTTTAGCTTCTTTCACTTCCTCTTCTGTTGTTAATAAACAGCTGGGGAGTCCCTTTTAGATCAGAAGGCTGACAGTAGTGACTCGGCAGTATTCTCACTTTTGGGGTGGACAGCCCCGCATCTGCACGTGTAACTATAGCACGCTCATTTGATTTGAGGTGCTAACAGATACGACAGTATCACACTTTTTAAAGTCTGCAGTCAGAATGGTTTACTGGCCCAAAGAGAACACTTTCTGGCATATTATTACACAGCCACGTGAACACAAAACCATCTAACGGCAACCTGTTATTTGCATAATGCCGAATCATCAGAAGGGCTTTGATGAGATTCTGCGGGGGCCCTGCAAACATTTAAGAACAATAGAAAGGGCAGCTTCTGATCCAAAACACACTCTCCTGCTTTACATTTAAGGAAAGCAAGCAAACAACCACAACAGCTACAGAGGGTGCATCATTAGGAGGTTACTGAAGCTGCAAAGGATGAATTCCTGAGGTTTTCATTCCTCTTTTCTGAATCATACAATAAGCCACCTTTCCAATTAAAATCTTTTTTAAATGCTTCTGGAAAAAACCTCCCAGTCTGAAAAACAGCAATACCAAATACACACCTCTGATACTGTATGTTCACAAATGCTTTTTAAAAATTATTAATTTATTCATCACATATTTATTGATTACAAGAAGAGGTACTATTTCAGAGGCTGGGCATATAGCAGGAACAGAGCAGATAAAAATCCTTACTAAAACAGTCGGTGTCTTTGCTTAAAAGTTTTTTTTTAAAGCCGTACAATGTTAATTTCCTCTCTCTAAAAAGCATTATAATGATTCCTTCTTGTTTTGATTATGTGCAATGACCGCTTTAAAAAAAAACAGAACTAAAACTACAAGACATCTATATAGTAGTAAAATGATAGAAAAATGCTCAAAATGACATGAAAGTTCTATGTTCATGACCCACGAAGCAGAAGACCCCTAGGAATGTAAGTTTATAAGAGCTTTTAATAGATGTTTCAATTTGGGGGAAAAGCCAACTAAATAAAGTGCTTTAATTCATGGCACTGGCATGTCTGTCTCACTCGAGCGTGCACAGCTTGCTTCATGGCTGGGAAGAAATATAGAATCACCATCACTCCCACACCCACAGGGACAAGAAACGAAAAGATTAAGGAAAATATTCGTGGAGAAGAGATACTGGAGGCAGCCAGACTTCCCCTGCAGATCTAACCGGCCACAGTTTCTCAACCTGAGCACTCTCAGCGTTTTGCATGGTTAATTCTTTGTTTCCATGGACTGTCCTGCACATCATAAAGATGCATCCCTGACCTCTATCCTCTAGATGCCAGTAGCACCCAACACCACTCCACTCTAACCCACTGCCACTATTAAAAATGCCCCTAGCCAATGCCCCTGGGGTTGGTGAGGGAGCAAAATCAACACCCCCCCACACACACCCAATACCCCACGAGAACCACTGTAATAAGCTGAAGATGTGCAGGCTTTGTTTGAAGCACAGCGCGGGAGGCTGGCTAGCTAGTTCAAACAGGGGCATGCTTGGTTTTTAGCTCACCATGTCCACCAGAGGGCAGCAGCTGAGCAAAAATGCCTGCTTTCCCTGCTGTTCTATTTGGTAGATAAAGCAGCATTACCTACGCATTTCCTAAGTAGACAAACAGTTCACAAACGGAGACTTCAACAGACTACAGAATGCATACTATTAAGGTGCCAGAGGAGAGCGTTTTGAAAATCTAATGGTCAAAATTATCTCAGGCCCAGCCTTCCAAGTGTCTTTATTCCCTCCACCCATAAAAATAAGACCCATAAAAAGAAGGTTATGTTCCTAGAGATGAACTTATAGAATTGGGGAAGGGAGTGGTGTCAATTCTGTGATGTCTTAAAGTCTGCAGATAGGGCTGGTTAGTGAACACACGCCCGCAGAAACACGATTACTGTGTAAGTCTTGAAGCCAGGAAGCACTTTCTGACTTTACTTCTCAGACTTGCTGCGCGCTCCTAAGAACAACTTATGCTACATTTATTTGGAAAGTCATCTGTCTAAGAAAACTTGAGTGTCTTTTTAAGGTTTGATTCTGGTGATGCCCATTTTGGAGCAAGGAATATTTTAGAAAATAAAATCCTTCCTTTGTCTTCTAATTTTTAGTGCTTATTGCATTAAAGAATAATCATTTCTTTACATGTCTGTCTTTTTCTCTCATCTGTACCTAGAAGTCAGGGCCTGCTTTGTATTCCCAGCACCAAACCTGGTGCTTGGGTGACCCTAAGCGCTTAATAAATATTTGCTGAATCCAATGTTTGTCTACATAAACCAAGCATGGTCCTGGAGCCTGGTTAATGCCTGTGAATATATTTAGCACCATTTAAAATCTCAGACCAACAATCCTCAGCTTTTCTTGTTGTTGGGAAGAACCAAGGGGGCTTTTTGCTCAGCTGTCACATACCTGCTCAGAGACAGAGCTGCTGTATTTTTTAGACATTCTCTTCCTCATTGTCTCTTTCACTGATTTCACCTTTTTTCCAAGAGAGATTCGGGAAGCGGTAGGTGATTTGATTACTTCTTTATACACAAAATCTCCTTCTTTACCCTGCAAAATAAAATGTTGTAAGTATCTTAATGACAGAAAATGAAGCCCACAAACAGGTTTTATTATTCAAACCATGAGTGTCCTACCTCTCAGCAAAACACTGACATGCTCCAGGATCTCCACATTTTTCTTATGTTAACTCAGTGCTATGTTATTTATCTTTCTGATTAAAAATTAAAAGCTATTGACTAAGTGACTTTTGCTTATTTGTTTGCTTAAAGTGGGATGTGAGTCACTTTGTTTTATTTAAATTTAGTATATTCTTCTCCTGGTACATGTTTTCCCACCATTTTAAATACCCAAGGGGACTGTATTTTATCAATAAAGAATGATTTAGATGAACCAATGTTCACTTAATCCCAGCAGCGGGGAAGAAGTAAAGGATAATACTACTGAATCACCCAAGAAAGTGGTAAGAACAAAATGGCAAATCTCAATCATTAGAAGTCCAGCATCTGGGGACTTCCCTGATGGTGCAGCGGTTAAGAATCCACCTGCCAACGCAGGGGACACAGGTTCGATCCCTGGTCTGGGAAGATCCCACATGCTGGGGAGCAACTAAGCCCATGAGCCACAACTACTGAGCCCGCGTGCCACAACTACTGAAGCCCATGCACCCTAGAGCCCGCAGGCCATAACTATTGAGTCCATGCACCACAACTACTGAAGCCTGCACGTGCTCTAGGGCCCGTGTGCCGCAACTACGGAGCCCGTGTGCTGCAGCTACTGAAGCCTGTGCGCCTAGAGCGCATGCTCCGCAACAAGAGAAGGCACCGCAATGAGAAGCCCACCCACTGCAATGAAGAGTAGCCCCGCTCTCCGCAACTAGAGAAAGCCCATGCGCAGCAGTGAAGACCCAACGCAGCCAAAAAAAAAAAAAGTCCAGCATCCGATCAGATTTATATCATTGTAGCACTTCGTGTGGCCAACTCCTAAGACTGTAAATTTTCTTTTCTGAACAAGTTAGATTGTGGTCTCCTTTCATTCTATTTTGCATTAAAAAACAAAACAAAACATTCCCCTGAGGGGAAAAAAAATCATACTTTTTATTTTTTAAAAGACTGACCACATAATATTATTGGTTTATAAATCAATAAAATTTGATATCCAAATAAAATAGTTTTATTCTTCCAGGAAATTCTCAAACACTTCAAAAAATCATAGATGGGTGCTTTCACTAACACATGGCCATAACAACTATAAAGCACAGAATCCTAATTTCACAGTTGCATGACCAACTGCACAAGGGGAAAACAAAACTGTATGGAAAACTCACCTACAGCTCTGGGACCTCAGAAAGTAAACCTTAGGGAGAACCTGTACACTGTAAAGGTGGCCTGTCCCCAGACTGTGATCCAGTGGCAGGTCTGAGCAGGCGGTCACCTTGGCCCTGAGGAGTCTGGCTTGCTTTGGCCCCAAGGGGACTGGGTTCATTTCAGGATACCCCAGATCAGAAAGACCTACGCTTGGTGTAGGGCAATGCACTTGGCCTATGACAAGCCTGGTTTTCAGAAATGCTGTCACATACTCTTGGAACCCAAATCACAGGGCTCCATGCTGTGGCCCTACCTATGTGTAACAGCCACGTGCACTTGCAACTAGTATGAGCAAAAAGCACACGTGCACCAATGACTAAGACCATCTAAACTCATCTGGACGTGTGACTTGAAGAAACCTGGAAACCAGGGTATTAAAGAAATGATGCTTCTGCAAAGAGAGAGATGGAGGCCACAGGTGGTTATCATTCAGTCCATGTGAGACTGTGAAGAGTCTTTAAGATGGGGAAATAGAGCTTCTCTCCAAATGCGATTTAGGATCCCGAGGAAAAGGTCACCCAGTACCGATTCTCAAAGATACTAAATGTGAAACTATGTCAACCACATCACTTGAATCCAAATCTTTTGCTTCCCCTCTGATGTACACTCACCAATGGGTCAGAATTATTACTGCCAATGTGCAGAGAACGATTTGTCAAGTCAAATCCTCCAAAACTGCAGGTTCTCTGTGGAAAGGAGAGGGCAGAGTAGTAACAATCCAGTTACGCTAAGATCATGCAGCAGTGCGCCAACCCAACACACGTCCCCTTTGTAGGATGTCACTGAACCACAAACGTGTTACAGGATGAGAGTAAGAGACGAGAAATGATGAAGAAAAACAATACATGATTCATGTTATAAGGAGACGCCACTCATTTTGCCCTTCCACAGGCCACAGGCCACTGGAACTGTGCCTACACCATAGGTTCAGAATCCCCTTCACAGGCAAAAACCAACTGGTTAAAAAAAAAAATACACCAACCCAAAAACCATACATGTGTTAAGTGCTCTAAGATTCCCTGTCTCTTAGCAACAAAATTTCCCTTCCAGACCCCTTAATATCGGCTGCATACAGTAGCGATAATGAGGGAACACGTATTAGGGAACCCATGTGCTCAGCGTGGTCTTGGAAACCCAGATGTGAAGTCCTACAGCCCTGCCACTGACAGCAGGCTTTTCTGAGGGACTCTTGTTTTGTTTAGTTTTAAATCGCTGAGATGGAGGGAAAAAGGTTATGTTTATAGTAGAGTCCAATCAGGCCAAGAGGATTACTCACTCATTGCTTCCCTGACCTAGCCAAAAATGCTGATAACTCTCCCATCTAACTGCCCAACTTAATTACTTATGACCCTTTCCTCAGAGCGTATGAAATAAAGACACCACGTTTGCCCAAAAAGAAAAAGATTGGTTCCGTGACTGTCTCTGACCACACTACTTTAATTTCAATAGGAAAAACACTGATAGAATGAAAACTTCACTGTCCTTTCGGTTCGTTTCAAACTTTATGGAATTGCTTATGTTTCAGTGCTTTTAAACTTCCAGAACTTGGTTTGAATTATCTGTTGTTTTCCTAGCAAAAGCTACTCAAGTACCACCTCCCCCCGCCAACCCCCAAATCTTCAAGAAAAAGGAGAAATTCGAAGCACATTAATTTTTGTTATCACCGATTATCTTCTTAAGCAACTGGTAATAAAATGTGAATCACAGATTTGGGTGCCAATATTTTGTATCACCTGTTTCTCAGAGAACTCTAGTTAACAGCTATTAAAAGGAAGAAATGAACAGAAAAGCACAACATATACTATAAACACTGCTTTTTTAAAATAAATACACCTTAGATACATATTAACTGAACTGAGAAAGTAGAAACATCCAGGAAGGAAAGTGCCTAGGTTTTTGGAATCACACAGATAGGGACCCAAATCCTGGTTCTACCACTTAACTTGCTGTGTGACCACAGGTAGAGTACTGAACTCTCTGAGCTTTGGTTTCTTCATTAGTAAAATACTATCTATAGCCTATATTTGAGACTTCTAGCACACTGCCTGGCACAAAGCAGACACTCTAGGAATGTTGGTTCCCTCCATTACTTTTCATTAGGGTCACAGTGAGAATCTGGTAGCTTGTTCTGACAATTGTTATATTGAAGTTTAGGCTTAGTCAACATTCTAAATATGCAAATGAAGAACTGGAGCTTAGTTCTGGGCCTTATAATTCTGGGAGCTTCAAATGTAAAACCAGACCAATCCCAGGAATGGGCCAAAAAGTGAAAGATAGCAGGTGTAGCAGAAGGAAAGGCCAGGAGATACAGAAGTGTTATATTTCAGGATAACCGACATTCAGGATATCACACAGCTGTTTTTCTCCTTCAGCAAAGCTGTTGCTGCTGTTTTAAATAATCAACCACAGACATAACTTTCAATGGACATTATTCTCATTTTATATAAAAATATCAATGGACAATCTGATTTCCCTTACAGTCAACTTAACTGGACCTATATCTACTCTATAAAAAGAGAAAGACCTCTGTAAACAAAAACACTCACCAAATCCCCTAATCTGCAAGCAATGTTATGACCATCTCTCAAGGCTAATTTTTAACTTTAACTTTCCCTTTGCAGCTTATAGTGCCAAATAAATTTTCTCGTTTTTGCAAAGGCAGTCATTTTATTCTAGTTCCTCTCCTGTGACTCAGGGCTCCACAGACACAGTATGGCGTCCAGATGCCGCATCATTTTACAGCTTTTGTACTTCCCTGCTTTGAATTCCAACACCGACTGCAGCACTGGAGCCCAGCATGTTATTTCTGATGCATATGAAATAACTGACAAAGAATTTATGTGGAAACTACAACTGCAATAAATTTATGTCTTCATATGACTGCTGCATGCACTGTCTCCTAAAAAAAGA